TGGGAGGGGAGGGGAGAGGTGGCAGGGCAGGGGAGGAGAGGTGGGAGGGGAGGGGAGAGGAGGGTCCTTAAGAGAGGGCGCTGGACTGCCGAAGGGGGGGTTAATGATGATGATGATGATGATATGGGTAATCTACAATTAGATTCACAGAGACTGGTGAAAACTTAATAATTCAAGTCCTAACCAAGGACCCAAGAATTATTACATTTATTATTATTATTCCTACTACTACTACTGCTATCACTGTTACAAGATATTAGGGTTATGCAAGATTTATTTATTTATTCATTACATTTACTTCTATTTAGGTATCATATTTACATAGCTGCCCATCTCACAAAAAGGTGACTCTGGGCGGCATACAATTCAAACAAATCATAAAATCAAAAGACTAAAACAAGTACAGTTAAAAAGGCATCAAGCAATAATTCTTTAAATTATTGATTATTATTATCATTATTCTTTTTATTATTATTCTTTATGATTATTATTCATTAAATGTATATTGCCGCCCTTCCCATTGCCGTGACTCTGGGCGGCTTACAAAGTTAAAAATCCCTAAAAAAGTACCTCAAAATAACTGCAAAAAATCATTAAAAGCAGTACAACTGTTAAAACCATAAAAAGCATCACCAGTGGGAGAGAGTCACACAAGATGCACGCATGCCTGTCTGTTCCGGACTTTAGCACCCATCATTGCAGCAGCGGCCGTGTGGTTCACCTTTGGCCTGCTCCTCCCAGTATCCCCAGCCCAGCACAACCAGTCTGGAAGGGACCCTTGGAAGCTGCAGAGCGCACCCCAAGGGGGAGGGCTGGGGAGTTAGACAAGGCAGGCCCATTGCATCAATAGTTTGTGTGGGGAGAGGTGCCAAAGTATCTGCGGGGAGAGGTGCCAAAGTATCTGCCGGGAGGGCAGCTCGAGATGTTGTTCGTTGTACCCCTCTCTACCTTTCCCCCGTTGAGGCTGAGATGCTCAGTGGGGCATTTTCACCGGGCTTTCAAGTAGGTCAGCGATGAGCTTGGCAAATCCATTTGCGCATCACGCTAAATGAGTTACAGTGTTGTGCAAACTGCTGAATTGGACAGCCGCTGCCTCTAACAAGCACACGTGCGCTCCGTGAGCTTTCAGGGCTGTTTGTGCCAGACAGCAGGAATTTGGCACAAGGCCAGGCATCTGCCCCCTGAAATGGCAAAAAGTGACAACGGGGGCCTGATGGATAGGTTGCTGGAAACTGTACCAAATTAGCTTGGAGGTTTTACTGTAGGGAAAAAAGGAGATACAGTGGCATGAAACAGCCTGGTGTGTGCATTCTAATTATGTTATCAAAGTCGTTATCATAATGTTCTTATAAGAGTATTAGTTGTAACTGTTTTCCCAGTTTGTGAGTGATACTTGCTAGTTCCCACATTCTGGTCTTCAGTATCTTTACTCTAAGTTTGTGTTCAGGCTCAATTCCCATCCATTTTCTCTGATGCTGCGGAGATGTGGTAGCACGGGATTCCTCCCATCCCTTGAACCACACGGTCGTGTTCACTGGTGGTGATGGCTGGTACTTGGTCCAGCTGCCTTTCAAGAGCACCAAGTCGGGAAAAGTTGATCTTGATAAAGGAACTCTGGTTCTTCCACCCATGTCAGTGAAGGAATACTAAAGGCTCTGAAGTAAAGTCAACCACACTCTAGCAATTATTACTGCCCCCTACAAGACTTAAGAGCTTTCTGACATCTATCAGATTGAAAAAGGGGTGCTTCTAAATAATGATTGGGTCATTTTGTATTTTAGTTTTCTCTGATCAGTTTCCCACAAAAAACTAATGCTCTGCTTCTTTTCCGATTTCCAGAAATTCTGCTGTTTGGCCATTATGAATGTTAGGGTTCACTCTATGTGCTCCTTTCGGTTCACTTCGTTCATTTCTTTGACGTTTAAAGAAAGAATTAGGAATTGGCCTTAGGTTTTGGTTTGAAATCCCTTCTAAGAGAGATGGTTGATTTGTATCCCTGATTATTTATCTTACGAAGCACTTACATATTTGCTTTAACAAAAATAAAACTTCTACACGCAGTTGGCTGGGGAACAGATCAGGGGATTGGAGGATTTGGAGAAGAGCCTGGAATTAAGGGGCAATTAATGAATCTGATCCGATCCGTACGAACAGTTATGAGAGGTAAGGTGAGCGCGATGCTATCGGTACAGCACTGTTGGGGATTCATTGCCTTCCCAAATAACTTATTTTTCTTTTTGCACCTTTGAGTCAGTCTTGACTCCTGGCAACTTCCCAGACAAGTCCCTGCAGTTTTCTTGGCAAGGATTTCTGGAAATGGTTTCCCCGGCCTTCTTCCTGGGGCTGAGCGAGAGGGACTGGCCCCAGGTCACCCAACCGGCTTCATGCCTAAGGCAGGACTAGAACTCACATCCTTCCTGATTCTAGCCCAGGGCCTTTAACAGCTACACCAAATTGGCTCTCCCCAAATAACTTGGTATTAAGGAAATGTCAGTCCTAAAATTTACTGGGCTAATTTTGAATTGTTATAAATTATCTGCATATTTGATTGCACTAGTGCACGTTATGACACCTTGTGCCTTTTCAGAAAGGGAAAGAATGGAACAGGCCATTAGTGAACTGTTACTTATTCAAAAGCCCTGTAACGTTCTAGAAGAGGTTTGGTGGAGCAACATTGCTTCCCTGTTTCCAAATCTCTAAATCTTCTTCTAAGAGTTCTTTTTTTTTTTCTGAACGGTAAAAGATTCTCTAACCACTACATCCTTCATGGCCAAATCTATTTTAATGAGTGATTCCAGCATGCAGTGCTATAAATGTAAGAATGTTGTATTCAGTAAACTTTCACTTTGCTACTCAAAAAGTATGTCTTGCACGTATAATGGTATAGCAGTGCATTATACCATAATATAAATATATTATCATATACCGCAATAGTAGTATAACGGTGCACAAACCTTTTCAAAGTAGAAATGCTATTCTTCAAGCTTGAAATACAGCCTTGATGTTTGCAGCAGCTGTTATATTTATTTATGTATATGATTCAACTTCCAGTGACTCTGGGCGGTGTATGTTTAAAAAGCAAGAAAGAATATAAACACGGATACAGATCACATATGTCTTGAAGAGAAGCCGTACATAATGAATTACCTTTCAGGACATTTAACAATGGCCCTACCCCAAGACCTGGGAGAAAGCCAGGTTTTCAGTGACTTTCTGAACATTATCATGTTATTATATAATATATATATTATATAGATATAGATTATATGTATAAATAATATAATTATCATTATATTATGGCTATGTGATCAGGCCTGGGATTCCCAGGGGACTGGGGAGATTTTACAATGGCTCCCTTATTAATTTTATCCCCTCCTGTTTTTGTGTGTTTTTACTGTTTTTTATATGTATATATATATTATGTATTTATTTTTTAAATTGTTGTACGCCACCCAGAGTCACCTTATGTGAGATGGTGGCTATATAAATATGATAAATAAATAAGTAAATTATCAGGATGAGAGCCATGCAGATCTCAGGGGGGATGCTGTTCTGGAAAATATACTTCCTAGGTCTTCATAGATGATATTTTAATTGAGGAGACTTGGTGTGCACCCACTCTGCCCATCCTATAAGGGCAGGGGGGTCCTGCAGATAACCCAGCCCTATGCCATGATGGGCTTTATAGGTCCAGCACTTGGAATTGCGCCCACAGATTGCTGACTGGTAATCAGTGAATCTCACAGAGCAATGGTATCATACTAAAACAAATTGTTTCACTCATATAGGAAGTGTTTTGAGATTGAATATAAAACTGTTTGTGATAGATGAGTAGATCATTGTAATTTGAGCATAAGACCAGTTAGTGGTATATGCCAGGATGGGAAGCAATTTAGAAAGATTTTTTTTAAACGAACTTTGTCATGGACAGTCTCATTAAATTGTTATTGCTGTCCCATCAAGTTGTGTTCAGAAGAAGTATCAAAGCCACAAAAGGAATGGAGAAATAGAAATTATGTTTTCTTCTTCACAGTTCTTTTGAGTTTAATACAATAGACTGTTGTTTTAAATAACACTTTTTCCTTTTTTTTTTTTGCAGTGCCATTAATTGGAGTGAACACAGTTACAATTGTGCTGTTGTTGTTATTTGGTTGAAATTGTCTTCAAAAAATCTGGGCAGTATCTAAAGCAAACTGCAGACCAATTTGCCCTTGGAATCCAGTCTGAGGGCTGCTGAAGCTGCATATTTGTCTCAATAAAGATACCATTTATATTTATTGTATTGCTTAATATACACTCCATTTTGTTAAATCCTAGAATTAAATGGAACCAGTACAAACCAGTACCTGTAGAGAGCCAAAACCCAGATTTTTTCCCCCCATTAAGTATTGTAGCAATTGCCTAAAGGTGCTGTTCTTACCTCCTTTTAAGCTGGAATTCAATCAGTGAGGGCTTCCCCCCCCTCCAAGAACAAGTTTAGTGTTGGTTCATCTGTACAATTCCCAAGAGTCAGCACTGACTTCATGGCACCTAATCAGTCAATCAGTAGCGTCTACACTGATAAATATATGTAAGCTGAGAGTGGGGAACACGTTAGCCTCCAAATGAAGCCAAGTGCAATTGCTGCAAATAGCAGTACCATTGATCCTGCTGGTTAAGAGTTATAGTTTAGGACCATCTGAAGATTCCTTGACTTTCACGCAGACCTTGTAGACCATGGGGTCAATCTGGATCAGAGTCTATAGTGAATGTACAAGTGGAAAGTTTACACACATAAACACTTTTTGAACATCTCAGAGATTGAGTCAGTAATATCTGATGGATATTTTTACAGACCAGTGATGTTTTGAACCAATTGTTTTGAAAATGAATTCTGTATAATGACTGCTATCTGAATATGTGCTGTAATTGCTAAATAGCACCACAGAAGAACTGGGCCTAGAGGTGGAAAGTTGACTCCAAAAACATTGAGAAACTTGAGTTCTGCACAGGATGTTTTGCTGTAATTTTTTTTTTCCTTTCTCAGGATTTGCAGGTGTTAAATATGTGAAAGTTGCAGTTTATATAGAATCATTTGTGGATGCTATGTAATACAGTTGTTTTGGTGAATGCATTTTTACCTATTTGGGAAAAATACTGGGAATTCTAAGCAAGTGTGTGCACTTCATTTATTTCTTACAAGAAGAAATTACTGTGTACAGTTGAACTGTTCAAAGCATTCTTAGGAGAGTCAGTATTAATTCAGATCAGCATTATTTATATTCAGACCATTCAAGGAACCATACCAGTTCTCTGATTCATGTATTTAAGACTGGACCTGGATTTTGTCTTTGTTTTCCTTAAATAGAAGATAATCCTAAAGAAATCTGGTCTGTAATCAGACTCTCCATGTGGAAGATGGGAGATGGACAGGAAGGAAATTCTATCATCAAGGGGGAAGGGATATATTTAGCAGCACAGTAAGCTCTGTAACTTACTCAGAGGTAACTCCCATTCAGTGGATTGCAGTTTTAAAAAGGATATTGCTAATAGATTTGCTACTACCAAAGCTATATTTGTCCTAATTTTTTTTTTTTTTTACTTTGCCTTTTATTTATTCTCTAAGAGGGGAGTCCATTCTTTGTAGAATTCAAACAATCTAGTTGGTATGTTTGTAGGATGTGACATTATGCCAACTTCTAAGGATGTATTTTAAAAGCAGTTGACTTACATGTATTATGTCATTGGTACAGTAGAAGAGCAGTTACAGGTAGTCCTCGTTCAGCGACTACCTTGTTTAGTGACCACAGTTACAGTGGTGATGAAAAAGTAACTTTACGACCAATTTGTCACATTTACGACCTTCAAAGGTCTGTAAAGCAAAGGAAAGCTGAAGGAAGATAGCACGGTAGCAGTTTTACTTAGTAACTGCCTGGCTTAATGACCATGTTGCCGGTCCCAATTGTGGTTGCTAAACAAAGAATACCTGTATTCTAGAGTACAGTGTGCTGCAGTTGAAAAATCTTAATCATTTCCAGGTTTGGGATGGTAAAGAAACTGCTTCTGTATGAGCTTTCCATTTCATTTTATTTTCATTTTAGAAAAATAACGTTTCATTTAGAAAATAATGTTTCATTTAGAAAATAACATTTCATTTTAGACCAGCTGTGAAATATTCATTTATTTGATTTATACAGCTGCCCACTTCACCCAAGTAAATCCTAAATAGCAACTCTGGGGAGGTTAACAACATTTAGCTGCCGAGAGTCACCCTCTGGGGGAGATGGGTGGCATATAAATTTAATAATAAAATAAAAATAAAAACACAGCAACTCAGCAGCCAAGGAACCGAAACAATCAGTCAAAATGAAACGACCATCACAGGTTTTCACGGACACTCGGACCCCCGTGCCTTGGGAACGCATCCTTGTCTTCAGGGCCTTCTGAATGGCTGGCAGGTTCTCTGGCTTCACCTCATCAGGAGGGTTCAGCTCACCGGGAGAAGAGGCTGCTGGATGAGTTTTGGCAGACACAGCAGAGAAATACCGATGTTTCACCACCCTTACTGCTGCAAGATAAGGTCATTGGCTGTAGCTTGTGATATCTTGTCCTGTTGGCCTTCAGGGCGAATTAAGCTTTGCCGTCCCTACAATAAACCTCGCACGCATTCTTAGCTTTTCAATACATTCCTTGAATTAGAGGGGTTCTTCCCCTTTCCCTCATTCACAGTGCCTGGATTTGCACAACACCCTTGACCAGGTCCAGGAGAGACCTAGTGGCTTCATTGTGTACAGCATGCTAAGTTGGGTTAATAATAATTTGATTTACTGCAGAGTTAGGAAGGAAGATGCAAGCCATGCCACCGCTGGTCTTGGGAAATTGGATAATGAGCTGTCAACAAATTTGTTTATCAGTTAAAAAGCGCCCTGTCTAAATAGAAATCACGTTCACAGAGTTTCAGATGCTTACTAAGGAGCAAAACCCAGCCTAAGCGACCCTGAAAAGCAACTATATTTTTGTCCCTGAATCCAAATTAATCTCACATCAAAACTGGTAGTCTAACTGACCACAATAAGCTGTGTTTCTTCTTTCACTGTTCACTGACTGCTAGGAATAATGGGTCTACAGCAGTGTTGTCCAAACTTGGCCACTTTAAGATGAGTGGACT